CATACAAACCTCTGAGACGCTCCAAAACCTGTGCACATTTTGAACAAAAAACGGCAACTTATGTGTGAAGCAAAGATGAAACAACCGAGACATGGAAATGATCACCGGTCCTATAATTGGGTGGCGTGAGCTATCATTAACCATCATTTGGGTCGCGCTTTCTGTAACAGGAACAAGTCGTTCGGTTGTAAATTTGCATGGAAATTTGCGCATTATGGATGTCAACAGCGCAACAACGCAAAAAACAAAGACGTGTATTTTGCATCTTAGCATGTGGTGCGCGTACGGAATCGTTCAACACACAAACATGCGTGTCCCGTTGGACTGAGGGCTCATTTATCACAGTTACAGCTTCCTGGAGAATGCTATGGTTTCTTTATGAATTTTTACCTTTTCGTCGATCCACAGGCGAAAAGCCTCTGCGCTCAAACGTGCGCTCAAACCTCTGCACAACATAAAAACGATGCGCATTAAAACAAATGTTTGTATTCTGCATCTTAGCATGTGGTGCACGTAAAGAATCGTTGAACACTAGATCCTGCCCGTCTTGTTTGACAGAGCTCATCTATCATGGCTACAGCTTTTGGGCTAATGCTATGGATTCCTCAGGGGTTTTCACCTTTTCGTCGATCCACATACGAGTCGCTGCGAGAAGATCCCAAGCTCCATGGAGTTTTGTCAATGGTATAATAGAAAATAGCATGGTCGACTGTGATCGCAGTTACTGACACATGATCCGCTCCAAGCCAACATCGCAGCTGACAATTAATGCAAGTTGCATTAGGGCTAGCATATTTTTTCAGCAGATGATTCACTTGAGCATCTTCAACACTGCGGGGCCAGTCTCCTTTCAAAAGACGGGTAACATGCTTGAGAGCATCCTTGCAAACAAGGACGTACCGTATTTATATTCATGTGCACATCGGGGGCTAAATTTTGGTGAACGCAGACATGACTTGGAAAACGGTCAGGTTGGGAAGGGACTGACATCGCTAGTTGTGGTTTGCGGAACAAAAGTTAAGCAAACGTTGAATGGACGAGGACTTTTATGCGTAAAGTAGCCTGATGCTGAGCAAATGTGAGCGCTGAGAAAACAGTTGACAAAAGGACATGTTGGGAGATAACTGAAGGCATGGTAGTGATCAACATTGTCATTGTGAAAGCTAGCGACAAGCTCTTGGTCTTACGTACAAAGATTAACGATATGCTGACCCCAGCGGTACACCACCATACATGGTGGTGTACCGTGTACCGCTGGCCCCTAGCGCCCGAAGGGGCCCCTGCACCAATACGGGTCTTCTGTGACGGTCAAGGACACACTGTGCCGAACAGAGTGCCCTGTGTCGACAACAAGAGGCCTCGAGTCGGCCAGGCACAGTAGCTGAACGGGGACGGGGAGGGACCCCGAATGACAGAGGGCCTCTCGCTTTGATCGGGGCCCTCTGACAGTGAAAGAAACCTGACAACTTATGATGGGAATTCACATTAGGACAATTGAAGGGCCCTGTATCAGTCAGGGCCCCAGTACCGAACGTTGGGCCCTCCAACCCAAATCCAGCCATGTGCCCGTTAAGTCGAACTGTATACTGTGTGCCAATTATTGGACCTCCTACCGCGATTGGTGATCTTGTTGCGGCAGTGAGGGTTCCTGCCTCACTCCGAGGCAACTGAGCGGGTCAGAAGGCCTCCGGAGTCAGGGAGGGAACCATTATGATATGATGTATCCTTCTAAGGGCCTTCGAATCGACCAGGGGACTCCGCCGTGACACCAGAATGACTGCCGGAAGGCACCCTGCACTGGGATCAAACAGCCCCTCAGCCCTTGATTGGGAACGAGGATATGCCACCTAGTGTTCTACTCAAAGGGCCCGTTCCCCGGATAAGTGTTGAACAAATTGGGTCGAAACAAGGTCAAAAATGAATAAGGCCAGCCCGTGTTTACCTTAGAACGTTCATTCTTTTGAAGAATTGACCAGGAAACCAATTACTTCAAAACGTTTTGAGCCTGCCCGCTCGCAATCTCTGGAGAAGAACAGCCTCGGTCGGGGTTGCGGTTGTCGTATAACGGAACGGCGTTTGGCCAATCCAGGTAACACCAAGGGACGGGAGCCGTGCGCGCGAGAATGACCGTCGCGAAATAATGTTTCCGAAAACCTTTCAAAATAAACCCTTACTGTAAAAGGATTAAACGACGGCATATGGTTTTTTACAATTTTGAGATTTTCCACTTTGGCCACCAAATTTTCGTCCGCCCATTGGCCACCAAATGGGCGGTCACCAAATTTATTTGTTTGTCCACCAAATTTTCGGCCACCGCTTAGTATTGGCCGCCGGGACGACGCCGGGCAGCCTGTGGGGGCTGCAACGCCGGACGTAGGAGCTTTTGCTGCTAAGATTTGGAAGTTTTTACGTTCAAAACTAACTTACATCGTTTGTATCACTATCGATTCTGATTGAATGCTCAGCATTTCCAAGACTAGCATGGGTTGGCCATGTTAATACAATTCTTGACCTCTTTCGATCTACAATCTACATTCACGGGGTCCTCAGTACGACTCTGCATGCTATGTACGTTAAAGTCCTCTGTAGAACCCAGATCAAAATTTCGGTAAAGGTCCTCACTTCTGTGATTAAAAAAACTGTCCAATGCACCAAGCGAAAGTAGGTACATGGGAAATTTGCTCCATACAGTCGTTTGACGCCTGATTTCTTTAGTTACTACCTTGTCACACAACTCCTCCCACTTTCTACCATAAGGAAGTCATGGTATAAGCAATCGATTAAAGGCTGTAAGAGCTTGGTGAGATACCCTATAGAATGTTAGTCAATATCTCTGTAGAACCAAGATCAAAATGTTGGCAAATCTTCTCAGTTCTATCGTTCTAGAAAGAGTCCAAACACCATTACGGCTTCAAGCGCGCCGGCAATTTAGTTCATGCGGTCGCTTGACGCCTGATTTGTTCATTTGATTGCCTTGTCATAAAACTCCCCCATTTTCTATCATGCGGAGGTCATGATCTAAGCCATCGATGTTTGATTGTAAGAGCTTGATTGGATGCCG